GGCACACTCGGGCCGTCTGACACGCCAATCAGTCAGCCCGCAGCCAAAATGGGAGCCCGCACAGTGGATTTGCCAGAGTACCGGCGGAGGTGGTCAAATCTCATGACGCGTTTCGAGCTCCAGAGTCGCTAAATGGGACTCGAATCGAACTTGTGACCCCACCAATGGGTTGCTCCCCGAACGAGGAATCCATTGGTGGGGCCACACGTTCGATTCGAGTCATGTTTAGCGAGCTCAAAACGCCTGGCGTGGTGGGCCACCCGCTCCACAGGCGAGTCTGGCGGGCAGGCCTACCCCGGATCATGCAGGCGGCGTGCAGGGGCGAGGTAGGCCACCCGCTCCACTGACGAGTCTAGCGGGCAGGCTTATCTCGCTCTGCAGGCGTCATACAGTCATCGTCTGGACGTCCGCAAATTACGTAGTGCTGCTCTGTCCTTGTCGCTCCTCATGGAATGCCCAATACATCCGTTAGAGAGAGAGAGAGAGAGAGAGAGAGAGAGAGAGAAGGTGCGGACTAGAGTCTGGGTGCCGGCCTAAATCGACGGCAGTACACCTGTTGCGCCGGGCAGCCGGGAACGAAGGCCCTAGGTAGGGCCGAGGGGGAGCGGGCGGGTGACAATATTTATTGCGGGCATGGTTTAAAACGGCCAGGGGATATACGTGGAAGCTGTCTTTGTCTTTGCATTCCTTTTTGCCCACCCTCTCCTCGTCCTTCCCGCTTGCTCGCCTCTCTCTCTCTCTCTCTCTCTCTCTCTCTCTCTCTCTCTCTCTCTCTCTCTCTCTCTCTCTCTCTCTCCCTCTCTCTCTCCCCCTCCCCCTCTGCATTTGCATGCGCTGCATTCCAGGACACAAAAGGCGCACCGCTCCGTTTCAGGGAATCTCGCTCCAGTGCCATTCCAGTGTTCCAGTAGTGGCGCATTAGCGCTGGGCTAAGTGCGGCCGTGCCAAGCGCTATGAGTTGCCGAGGGCTTGCCACGAGGGCTTCATTGGGACGGCCCACAGTGGGCCAGAAGACCGGTGGAGGCGGCCAAAATTCTAGACGCGTTTTAAGACCTAGAGGCGCTAAATAGGACTCGAACCGAACGTGTGACCCCACCAATGGATTGCTCTCCGTACGAGGAGTCCATTGGTGGGGTCACACGATCGGTTCGAGTCCTGCCCAGCGACTCTGCAGCTCAAAACGCGTCTCTAGTGGGCTTTAGTGGAGCTGAGAAAAAAGGAGTGCAATGCTGCAAATAAGAGAATGTAATGCGGAGGCTGTGTGCCTGTGTGTGTGTGAGCGCGCGCGCGCGTGGTTGGGACCGTATGGAAATGAGGTCCTGTGGGATTTGCAGGACTCGAAGGCAGCGACGGCACGAAGGAATTTCGGTTTGGTTTGTCGAGTCCACCGGGCGATCCCGGTCGTCCTGGTCACTCGGAGCGGGTAGCGGGGCGGGGCCGGAGTCGCGACTCTGTGTGTGTGTTTGTGTGTGTGTGTGAGTACACTGCGGGCAGTGCGCGCGCCGCCAAACGGATAGAAAAGACTCTCTTGCCGACAGACTCGATGGATCCAATGCGGTTTGCAATATCTGAGGATCGGCGTCGCAGATTGCCGCTTTATACAATTACGAGTGGGTAATCACTCTGCGCACGCCGCGCGCGCGCGCGCGTATGTCATTTTTACCCTTTGCGTTGATACGCCGCTCCTACAGTGTGCTGCCTCCGTATTCTCGCATTTATTTCTCAGCCGTCGTTGCTCCGCGCTGCTCCGGTTGGGGCTAGCCAAGGCCGATGTGTCGGTTTCATTTAGCTTTAGCGGCAACACTACACCGGCATGCCCGCTGGACGCACACGCACACACATACACACACACACACAAAGGCTCGATAGGGGGAATATTTCACGCGAGCGCAGAGTTCTGTCAATCCTATCCGGCGGCGCGGGCACTGCCAGCACGCTGCCGTTTCCGAACACCGCGCTCCGTCTCTCTCGCACCCCGACGGGACGCCGCGTGAGTGCGAGAGAGACGGAGCGACGGTCCGGAGACAGCCTGCAGGCAGCTGTAGGCACTCGACTGCTGCGTATGTCCCACGCGGTGTGTGTGTGTGTGTGTGTGTGTGTGAGCGCGTGCGTTATTATGAATGAATCGTCCACCGGCGTTTGCAAATTTATTTGTTTTTTGTTTCTGTCTGTTTCGACTCTTGCTGGAAAGGCGCCTGACTTTAGTTCCGCAGTGCGGTGGTCCCCAAAATTCAGGCCCAGTGGCAGAATTTTTTTTATATCCCTGTTTCCGTTATCTTGACTAATGATTTTTACGATCGGGGTGAAGGAATTTAAGAGGCAAACGGCTTTCTAACGGCGAGAACGCTTTCTGATGGGCCCCCCTAATTGCCTTTTTATGTGTCTTTTCATGAGGCTGATGGATTCGCGACTCAAAAATCCGCGATCAGGTCACATTGACCCCACAAAGGTCTCTTCGTTTTCTTTCTTCTTCTTTTGTTTTACCCGAAAGCGTGAGAATAATCAGTCGACCTAACCTCCAGCCGGTTTCCCCGCTGACAACCTTCTCTTGTCTTGATCCTGAACGGAAGTCGAAAGGTGTAAATGCGCTCCACAGTGCATGTTGTTGTTTTTTAACAGAGTTTTTTAAGTTTTTAAAAACATTTGTTTTTTGCACAGTGCTGCGCACTGTTTGGTCTTGTTGTTCTTGCCGAGATGAACGCTGTAAAATGGAGGCCATGATATCCGCATCCTGTTTGGTTTCCGAGCAGGGTCTCCTTTCTAATTGCGAGGGATGCTCCTGAATCCCCTCTAGTGCCTCTCCAGTGCCTGTCCAGTGCCTTCCAGTGCAGCGAGCAAAGCAGGCATAAAAGTATGGGTGCGTTCCGTCTATTAAGGGCAGTCCCTTATTATCAGTCGTACGCGTCATTTGAAGGCAAAAGCTCTAGTGGCTATTCATGTCATTCTTTTATGACTGTTCGCGGCGTGACCCCCTTCCCGGCCGCCTGGGTTCGGCGAGACTCACACTCACGTACAAACACACACACACACAAACACACACACAGGAGAGTCGTCCTGAATTATTTGCAGGTGGCAGCCACACTAGCAGTTGGTATCTGCGAACCGCGCATTGGCGGGTTTTAGACCTTTGGAGACCATGGAGACCACTTTAGGATCTTGGTAACCATGGAGACCGCTGCTGCTGCAGAGCACTATCGAATCGGTATCGAAGGGGGCATTCCCTCACTGGAAATCCGGTGACGAATGTTGCCTTCGGTGGCTGTGGGTCCGTCTGTCTGTCCGACAACAGGCGCCCCATAACGTCCTCACTTTATTAACACCGCATCTATCGCCCAAGGACGAGTCACAGAGGACCTCCATGGCTAGTGGAGGTGTCTAGACGCCTGCGTACGTGTTTGTAGTGTGTGTGTGTGTGTGTGTGTGTGTGTGTGTGTGTGTGTCACGGGCTTGATGAGTGGGAGGGCGATGTAATAGAATGCTGTTTGAACGCGGTCTAGTCAGAGGGAGAAAGAGAAAGATAGAGAGGGAGAGAGCGGCAGACGAAGTAGACTGGGCAATAAAATAGATAAGAGACCGTTTGGGCATTTAGGTCCAGATGCACCCATGTTTCTTCTCCGACTGGGAATTATAAGGGAATAAACGGAGTTTGGGTTTTTTGGGGTGGCGGAGTGGGATGATCGAGTTGATGGTCATTTCGCCGTGTGCTGTGGTGGTGCACGATTCGGGCGGCGGGCTTCAAACTGTTTGGTGGAACAACAAACTTTCCTCGATAATCCCTTTCTCGGAGCCCGCTCCCTGTACTGTACATCTCTGGAGAAATGGCCCCCGATAGTGGCGACAGGCGGGTCTCCCCGTCGTGTGCGCCACCATGTGCCCCATTCCCACTCTCGGGCCGATTTATGGACAAAGGGTAAATAAGACGGATTTGGAGTAAAATGGCGGCGGATGCACCCCGCGTGCACTCTGTCAGCACCAGGAGCCATGTGCAGGCTGGATGCGCCGCGGCCGATGCGGGGCGGGGCGGGGCGGGGCGGTCAGCAGGCCTAAGCCGGGCCTGTCTCAGACGGGCGCATTCTCCGCTCTCCGGCTGGCCATTTTCATAACAGGTTCTTGCCTCCTTGCCCTGCCCCGTCCCTCCTCCGTCCTCCTCCTGTTCTTCTCCTTCTTTCTCCTCCTCCTCCTCCTCGCTGCTCACTTTATTTCTCTGTCGTTTCCTCCTTTGTCCTCATCTTTCTCTTACTCTGCATGTTTTCGTATCCTTTCTTTTCTATTCCGTCGTCCTCTCCTCTTGCTCTTTCTTCCGTTTTCTTGCTGTTCTCTTTCTCTTTCTTTACCCGTGTTCGTATCCACTTCGTGTCCTTCTTCCTTCCTTCACTCTTACTCTTCCTCCTTTCCTTGCCGTCCCTTCTTCCGTCCTTCTCCTTCCACTCTTCTTCGCACCCTCCCCCAAACATTCTCCCTTTCTTCGCTCCGCATCCCTCCGAGGGACGTTCGAACTAGTCGTGGCCCGGTGGAGCTCAAAACGCGTCTGGAGTTTTGGCCGCCTCCGCCGGTCTTCTGGCCCTCTGTGCGCGGCGAGGCGTGCCACGGCGTGCCGTCATCAAAGTCGTTATCGGTGTGGCATTACGGACGCCTAACCCAAATTGAAGGCAGTGTCTCTGCGAGGCTCTGCGGGGCTCGCCGATGTTTTTGTCCGCCATTAGCTGCCCCAGTCGTCATGCGTGCTTAGGGAGTCCTTCACCTCCGACCACGGAGACCACAGCCCGAGGGGGAAACGACTTTTTCATGTACTAAGGTTTTTTTTCCTGCGCCTTGTAAAAAACGACAATTGTTATTTGAATAAGTGACGAAATGAAACGAGGCCAAAGTCGAGCAAGAGTGACCGGAGTGAGAAAGGGACTAAATTACCCGTGTGGTCCCCCGACTTCTTTCGTGAAACAAAACAACTGTGCAGAGTGTGTACTATTTGAAACTAACCATCCCTCCCCATCTGTCCCCAGGTGTCAGCCACGGACCCCGACTGCGGCGTCAACGCGCTCGTCAACTACACCATCGGGGAGGACTTCGGCAAGCTCAAGGAGTTCTCCGTGCGCTCGGCTACGGGCGAGATCTGCATCGCCGGCGACCTGGACTACGAGACGAGGAATGTGTACGAGTTTGCCGTTCTCGCCACCGACAGAGGTCAGTGTATAATCGATAATGAATCATCGTGACAGCGCGGGCCTCGAACGACTTCGCGATCTTTGAAGAGACGGCTTTCAGAGGGACCTTCGGAAACACCGAAGACTATCAAGTATTGGTATAGTGTACTGAAAAATTTGGCTGTCTCTTGATGACAATTTCAAGGCTAATTTTCCTTTCAAAAAGTGGCCATAAATGTCGACAAATTTTAACAGGGTACAACTCTACTGCAATCAATTATCTAGAACTGGTTCAAATGCGCTGAAGCAGTGTCTTGATCGTGTTGGCGATTTTCTTTTGAAGTGAGTTTTTTTTTTTGGGTGTGGTGTGGGCCACCGAAATCTACTCCTACGCCCTGTTTGATGGGCACGTTCCGGGGAAGGGGGAAAGGAGGGGGGGGGGTTCCAGTTGTGGCAGTCTCCTGATTGGATTTCGGTGATGATTGTGATGGCGGTGCTGATAAGGCAACTAACGGAGTGAATGCCATTATGGCTGGCCACGCAGATAGGCTTTCCGTGCACGAAATCGCCAGCGAGAGAGAGAGAGAGAGAGAGAGAGAGAGAGAGAGAGAGAGAGAGAGGGGGGGGGAGAAGAAAGATGGTATTAATCCCTTATTGTCCAGCTCCTCACGAAGTGGGCTTATGGCCCCGGAGCCCTGGCTAATAGGCCAACGTGTCGACACCCTTTGGCTACCTCTGCCTAGCGCGTTGGCTAAGCCATTGGCTAACCCGAGGGGCGGCAACGCTCGATTGTGTGTCAAAGCGAGGAAGAATACAGGGAAATCAGCGCTAGAGTCTGTCAAAGCGAATTAGGCCTTCCCCCTCCCCCGGGGCCCGGTCGCCACATTTTGTTCGGACGGCCGGCACGCACGCGCGGGTGTCTTTGTTTTTCTTTCATTTGCAAGAGAGACGGCATGGTGCCGTTTCTCCCGCTGTCTTAGTTAAGAGAATTTAGTGCGACGCCGGGGCCGACCGGGCCCGCGCCCTCTGGGCTGGGCTACTCTGAAAAAAGGCAGCTCCCTTTCGGGGCGCTGGGGGGCAAAATGAGTTGGAATCGGAACGGGGACGGTGGAGAGAGTTCGACGCAGGTCGCAACCCGTGGCATCGTTTGCGGTCATCGTTTTAGGCGCATTTTAGGCGATATTGCTCAATTTCTTGACTGAAGACTTGAAATGTCACTAGGAAGATTTTTAACCAAAACCCCCGTGCGAATTTTCGCAAACTTCTTTTTTTTTTTAAGCTGCTTTTAGTCATCGCTAGTTTGACGCCTGCTTATTGGCTGTCCGTGCCCAAGTGGACCAAGTGGCCCCTCCCCCCTCCAAACCAGAGCTTTTGGCTCCTGGCGGTAATTACTCTATTGTCCGGTCGGTGATTTATTTTGGACCGCCTCAGTTACACATTTGGAGTGCAACGGGCCCTGGCCGGCCCCTCTGCCTTCGCGGCGCTCTCTGCAAGCAGCGCTTCGCGGCCAGTTCGTTAGGAAGCGGGGAAACGTGATGGTTTTATTGTCGCTTCGGATTGGAGAGAGGGAGAGAGGTGGGCCAAACAACTGCATTTTTGGCCTCTCTCTCTCTCTCTCTCTCTCTCTCTCTCTCTCTCTCTCTCTCTCTCTCTCTCTCTCTCTCTCGTTTTTCGCGCTCCTTGTGCCTTTCGCCCACTCGAGGCTCGGGCCGGCCAACGTTTGGATGATGCATGGCGCTTGCGGGACTATCTTAATTTACAGAGGTACTCCCCCCCCTTCTCCCTTTTCCCTCGCCCCGCCCCCGCAGCCCGCGCCGCCTCGAACGGCGTGCGGAATCAGTACACCCCTTTTACCCTTTCCCTACACCGCATTCTTCGGCCGGTGCTCATCGCCCTGCAACCCCCTGACCTCCCCTCCCCCCTCCCCCTTCCCCTGCGCCTTCCCGCGCGTTCATGTCGGACACGCCTCTGTTTCTGGGCTGACATGTATAACGACAGAGAGCCGCGGCGGCGGTGGCACGCACACACACACACGCTTACACACACACGCACGCAAAAGCGCATTTTACTCACACAGACGCCCGTGCAAAAACGCCTTTTACGAGAAAACGGTACTGATCACATAACTGCCTTTACCATTCCGCCCGGGCGTTAATTTTACACCTAGTCTGCCCGGCGGTCCGTCTGTCTTGACTCTGTGTGTGTCTTTGTGTGTGTGTCTGTCTGTGTCTGTGTGCGCGCAGCAGTGCCGTTGGGCCCAAAGGTCACGGCTTGTAGGCAGCAGGGCCCAAACGCTTTGCAGGTTTGCCGGTCTAATCGACACGGCGGCCCCGCGATGCCGAAGACAAGAAGCCCGTCTTCCCCGCGCTAGCTCAGTCATTTCCCTCCCACTTTGGAGCCGCTTTTGCGCGGGCCATGCAGCCGCATGCAGCCCTGGCTACCTCAATCAGTGCTAAATGTCGTATTTATTCGCGTGATGGTTGGTCATTCATTCCAGTGTGTGGGGTGTTCTTGAAGGCAGAGCGTCTAAGCAAGTCCGCACAGTGGGCCAGAAGACCGGTGGAGGCGGCCAAAACTCTGGACGCGTTTTGAGCTCCAGAGTCGCTAAGCAGGACTCGAACCGAACGATTTAGCGACTCTGGAGCTCAAAACGCGTCTAGAGTTTTGGCCGCCGCCCCGCCGGAGGCCTTGCCACAAAAATCTGGATTACGATTTTCTGGGTGCCCCGCTGTGGACGGGGTTGGTTTTTGATGTTGTTGCCGCTCGCCTCTGACTTGTTGTTGTTGTTGTTGTTGCAGGCGGGCTGAGCACCACGGCCATGGTGAAGATCCAGCTGACGGACGTGAACGACAACGCCCCGGTGTTCCTGCCGCGCGAGTACAACGTGTCGCTGCGGCACAACACCCCGCCCAACACCCCCGTGGTGGTGGTGGTGGCCACGGACCGGGACACGGGCCGCTTCGGCGAAGTGAGCTACGCCATCGCGTCGGGCAACGAGGCGGGGGCCTTCCGGGTGGACGGCCGCTCCGGGGAGCTGTTCGTGGCGCGGCCCGACCTGCTGCGCGCCGCGGGGCCCAGCGGCGTCCACCGCCTCAACGTGACCGCCACCGACGGCGGCGGCCTCCGCTCCGCCGTCGACGCGCAGGTGTCCCTCACCGTGGTGGCGTCCTCGGACCAGCGGCCGCCGCTCTTCGAGAGGCCCAGATACACCTACAGTGTGCGGGAGAACGTGCCCAGGCACTCGGCCGTGGGGACGGTGCGCGCCTCTAGCGGGGAGCCAGGTGAGTGTTCAGCGGTGCACAGTGGGCCAGAAGACCGGTGGAGGCGGACAAAACTCTAGACGCGTTTTGATCCCCAGTCGCTAAACGGGACTCGAACCCAACATATGACCCCACCAATGTATTCCTCGTTCGGGGAGCAATCCATTGGTGGGGTCACACGTTTAGTTCGAGTCCTGATTGGCGACCTGCACCGGTCTTCTGGCCCACCGTACGGTACAGGGCTCAATGTGGGGATTGTCTACGTCACTGACGCCTCGAAAGCAGTGACCCCCGCGGACCGCGTGTCCAAACTGATGACTCCGTCCGGGAGTCCATTGGGAACTGCCCCCGGTTTCCGAAAGGCCGTCTCGTCGCTCTGTCTCCCTCGCACCGCAATGGGACGCCCCGCGAGTGCGACGGAGACAGAGCGACGCTGGTGGGGCGAGCCGGGCGCCTGATTGGGCCGATACGTCGCCCACGACTCTGCGGGCCTCGCAGGCCTCCGGGCCTCCAGGTCACCTGGGCACGCCCACCGCCAGCAGCCGGGGCAGCCGCGACAGCCAGCCGGGGCGCGCCACCAGTAATTAATGAAAAGCCATTGTCAACGCCTCTCTCTCTCTCTCTCTCTCTCTCTCTCTCTCTCTCTCTCTCTCTCTCTCTCTCTCTCTCTCTCTCTCTCTCTCTCTCTCTCTCTCTCTCTCTCTCTCTCCGTCTCTCTCTCCCGCTCTCTCTCCTACCGCCGCAAATTCAAATCTGTGGGAACGTGCGCGCGAGGCGCCGGGCGAGGCGCCTCTTGGTGAGGCGTCAGCAACGCGTCCCCGACTCGCCCTGTCTCTCTCGCACTCGTCGTTCCGCCCGCAAAGCCGCGAGAGAGACAGAAGCCCGCGGTGCTTTCGTATGCTTTCGCCGTCTCGCTCGCGCATGGAGATTATCAACCCCGTTCCTTTTCCTCCCACTCCCGTTCCGCGTCCAGCTTCAGTCGCTCTGTCTCTCTCTCGCACTGTGGGGCGTACCGTATGGGTGCGAGAGAGGCAGAGCGACGAAAGCGACTCTCGGTCCGCACTGTGGGGCGGCGCGGCGTTTCGCGCTTCAAACAATGGCCATCATTACCGGTGGTCGCCGTGTCAAGCCGGGGCGGGGCGGGGCGGGGCGGGGCGGGGCGGGGCGCGGCCGCAACTAGTCGAACACTGCACCGGCAGGAATCTCGCGAGCCTCCGCTCCCAACTTTGCACAGTGGGCCAGAAGACTGGTGGAGGCGGTCAAACTCCCGGACGCAACCGAGCGTGTGTCCCCACCAATGGACGGCTCTCCGAACGAGTAATCCATTGTTGGGGTCACACGTTCGGTTTGAGTCCCATTTAGCGACTCTGGAGCTCTAAACGGGTCCAGAGTTTTGGCCGCCTGCGCCGGTCTTCTGGCCCACTGTGCTTTGGTCCCCTCGCGAGGACGGCTCGCGTGGCGTGCACTGTGAGCGGCAAGGCGGCAAGCCGGCAAGGCATCGCGACGGCAGGATATGAGCGTCCTATCCTATCCCGCGCGTCCCGCGGCCCTGCCTGGGCCGGGCGCCCCGGGGCAGGCTGCGCCGGGCTGCGCTGCCTTGCCCCTTGCCTGCCTTACCGCCACGCGCTCTGTCGGCGGCCCGGGGAAGCGAGGCTGGCGAAGCAGCACTTTGACAGTTATAACGCTACGGAACGGACGCTAACGCTAACGCCGCCGCCGTCGTTTTCGTCGCTCGGTCTCTCTCGCACTCACGGGGCGCCCCGCAGGAGCGCGAGCGAGACAGAGCGACTCTCGGAATCGGTCCGCTGTACCGCGCTACGCTGTGCTACGCTGTGCTACGCTGTGCTACGCTGTGCTACGCTGCGCTGCGACGAGCCAGCCATAACTTAGGTTCTAGATTGCAGCCGCATCATGTCCGTCCCGCGGAGGGCGAGGGAGACAATATGGTTTATGATAAGGAAGGGGCTGCTTCTGAACGGTCGCTCTGTCTCCCTCGCGCTGCTGCGGGGCGCGTCGGGGCGCGCCGCGAGCGAGAGAGATGCATGAACCCGTTACTCTTGCAGGTGGAGTCCGGTACTCGCTGTACCCCGGCGACCCGGACGGCTACTTCAGCATCGACCCCGTCTCGGGCGGCATCCGCACGGCCGCCGCCTTGGACCACGAGGCGCACCAGTCCGTGCTGCTCAACGTGCAGGCCACCAGCGGCGACCCGCCGGCCTACGGGCACACGCAGGTGAGGCTCAGCTTGAGACAAGTCATCCGGCAAGAGATAAGACACATTATTTCCGACTGCCTTCCTTTTGAGGTCCTGTCAAACGCGAAGATGTCAATTTCATACCATATCCACCAGACAAAAATGCCCAAATTGGCAGGAGAAAAAAATCATTCCGCCTTTCACATTTCTTTTTATTTATTTCTTCAGTTTGTCCAATGGATTGCTTCCTTCTGAATGCAAAACCTTCTCAAACCGAGCAGCGTGTTATTCTGCTGCTGCTGCACCGGTGGTAATGTTTTCAGACCGAAAACAAAAAGAAAATCACCTCGAAAGAAGAAACCGAAATTGTTCTCGTTATTCTGTCTGTGGTGTGGATTCGGGGAAAGTGTCGGTATCGGGATTCGCTACTCCTGTATGCCCCGCGGGGGTACCACATAATGGGAGGGTGAGGTGGTGGCCCGGCCCGCCTGCCAGGCTGCCTGCCTGCCTGCCTGCCTGGCCGCCTGGGCCTCCAGTCGGCAGCCGAACGGAATTTGACGTAATTTGTCGGTAATGCGGAGGCGTCCCAATGCCTTGCGTGCAGCAAAGGGGACCGGGCCGTACACGACGGCGCGTCTGTGTGTGTGTGTGTGTGTGTGTGCGCGCGCGCGCGCGCGCGTGTGCGTGTGTGTGTGTGCCCTCGGCTTGACCTGCCTCACGCAGGGCACGCCACCTTGCGCTACCGAAACCCATTCTCCATTTCTTCTTTTTTGTTGCTTTCCCTTGACGGCGTCCTGGTCCTGCCGCAGGTCAACATCAACATCGAGGACGTGAACGACAACGCCCCGGAGTTCGACTCGCCGACGGTGCGCATCTCGGTGCCGGAGAACGCGGCGCTGGGCGTGCCGCTGTACGCGGCGCTGGCGCGCGACCGGGACTCGGGCAAGAACGGCGAGGTGAGCTACCGCCTGGGCCCCCAGGCCGCCGCCAGCCCCGCGTCGCGGCCGCAGTTCGCAGTGCACCCGCGCACCGGCCACCTGACGCTCACCACGCCGCTGGACTACGAGGCGGCGCAGCGGCACACGCTGCTGCTGACGGCCACGGACGCCGGCGAGCCCGCGCTGGCCGCCAACCTGACGGTGCTCGTCGAGGTGCAGGACGTCAACGACAACCCGCCCGTCTTCGAGCGGCCCAGCTACGCCGTCAGCATGCCGGAGGGGCAGCCCGTCAACGCGCAGGTGAGTCCGCGGCCTCGCACAGTGGCCGGCGAAGGCGGCCAAAACTCTAGACGCGTTTTGAGCTCCAGAGTCGCTAGATGGGACTCGAACCAAACGTGTGACCCCATCAATGGATTGCTCTCCGAACGAGGAATCCAAAGGTGGGGTCACACGTTCGGTACGAGTCCCATTCAGGGACTCTGGAGTTCAAAACGCGTCCGGAGTTTTGGCCGCCTCCACCCGGTCTTCTGGCCTACTGCGTGCCTCGTGCCGCTCGCTGCTCCCCCGAGCCTGGCCTCACCGTCTCGCTGTGCCCGATGCAGGTGGTGCAGGTGACGGCGGTGGACCTGGACACGGGCAACAACGCCCGCCTCACGTACCGCCTGCTGGACGACGACGGCGACGTGCCGCTCGCCGTGGCGCCCACCACGGGCTGGCTGTCACTGCGCGCCCCGCTGGACCGCGAGACGCGCGACCGCTACCAGGTCGCCGTCGTGGCGCGGGACTCGGGGACGCCGCCGCTGTCCGCCACCACCACCGTGACCCTCACCGTGCTGGACGACAACGACAACGACCCCGTCTTCGCGCGCGACCTCTACGAGTTCGCCGTGGAGGAGAACGCGGCCCGCGGCACGGTGCTCGGCGTGGTGCGCGCCGCGGACCGCGACCTCGGCCCCAACGCCGCCATCCGCTACGCGCTCATCGGCAACAACAGCTTCACCGTCAACCCCGTCACTGGTGAGTCAACCTCAGACGCTGAATGGCAGACTTTGTCAGTATGAGAAATCGCGTCGTCGCCCGTAGGCTGTTCTCCCCACCGGATGCCGCGGTGCGTACCAACCAAGAGAGGCGGGTGCCTGCCCGCCCCTGGAATTAGGCTGTCCACGGCAGTCGGGCATTCGAAGAAGCGGCGTCAGTGCGAGACGCCGATGTCAGTCATCTCGCGGGGCCATGAGGATGGGATGGGGTACCATGGGCTATAAACCCCCAGGCTGCCTGGCGGGCCAGCCCGTCCAGTGGGTCCAGGAGGTCCAGTAGGCAGGCCGCCGGCGGCGTAGCACCGCGCGCACCACCGCCCCCTTCATCGGCGTCGGTAGTCCGCGCCTTCGGGCATCGGGGGAGGTCCAGACACACCTCAAGGATTGTTCCCAACAGTCACTGCCGGGGGTTGGGTTTCGTTTCTTCTGCTCAGTAACTGTAAGTGCCGTCATGAGCGGCCGTTGCCAGGGCAACAGGTGGCGACGCTAGTACACTGGCTACGCGGCTACGCGGCTACGCCACTGGCCGGCGGAGCGGCCAATAAAACTCCACGCCGGGCGGCGTGCTTCCTGTGGCCACGCAGAGCCACGCACGCCGGGCTCTCTCGCCGCTGTCTCTCTCGCTCTCGCGGGGCGTCCCGGAGGGGTGCGAGTGAGACAGACGACGCTCTTTTCGGAACCAGGCGGCGCTGCGAGCGCGAGCTGTTTGCCCGGCCCGGAGGCAGCGCCGCTCCGGGTCAGAGGGGGAGGGGGAGGGGGGCGTTCCGACTTCTGTTGACTCTCTCAATGTTTAGTTATCGGATGCGTTTTCCGTGTCGGCTCGCCCTGCCCTCCCGGCGTGTGAGGCGTGCGCAGGCCGCCGGCCGGGTCGTCACTACCAGTCACCGCGAGAGAGAGAGAGAGAGGGGGGGAGGTGTGTGTGTGTGTGTGTGTCTGTGTGTGTCCGCGCGCATTTCATATTGAAATGTATGAAATGTGAGCCATATGCGAGTCATAGAGAGGCCGCTACACGTAACGGGGACACACAGACACGCTCAGCAACACACATACACACGCGCACAGGCTTGCGCGTTCGTCGCTGCGGATGTATGTAGGGCTGGGATGATGCACTGCCGGTCTGCGTACGCTGTAAAAAAAAAACTTATAAAAATTACAAGCATCCATAGAAGTCCCACGGGATGAATGATTCAAGATCGCGATCGACTTGAAAACGCGACGCCCCAGGCGGCACCGTTCGATCCTCTAGCGATGCAGAGGGGCAATGACGGTGCATTCTGGCGTTCCGGACGCAGTGGCGTCTGCTTTACCGCGCCGAGCCGCCAAGCCGCCAAGCCGCGGCCGCGAAACTGCGAAAGCGGCGCTTTGCGAAGAAGACGCGTCGCGATCCGGCATCGGCCGCATTACCATATCGCATACCGGCAGTGCAGCGCACAGTGGGCCAGAAGACCGGTGGAGGCGACCAATACTCTAGACGCGTTTTGAGCTCCAGAGTCGCTAAATGGGACTCGAACCGAACGTGTGACCCCACCAGTGGATTGCTCTCCGAACGAGGAATCCATTGGTGGGGTCACACGCTCGGTTCGAGTCCCATTTGGCGTCTCTGGAGCTCAAAACGCGTCTAGAATTTTAGCCGCCTCCACCGGTCTTCTGGCCCACTGTGCTGTGCAGTGCGTCGCAGTGCGCGGGGCCGCCAATCAACCCGGAACTGTCACATTCGGGGCGATCGGACGGACGAACAGACAGACACACAGACACACACACACACACACACACGCCTGCACTACTACCGGTGCCTCCAGAGGCTCCAGAGAGAGGTAACTGTGGCGGCGGCAGGCACGGCAGGCAGGCAGGCAGTGCCGACGGTGGCGTGGCGCGGCCCGCTGCTCGGGGCGCTGGGGCGATGGTATCAGCTCGATTATCGACTCGCCAAGCTGCCGTGCCGCGCCGTGCCGTGCCGCGCCGCGCCGCGCCGCGCCGGGAGATGCACTCGGCCACGCCACCGCGTCTAGGTAGTCTAGGCCGTCTAGGCGGTCTAGGCGGAGGCCGCCGCGAAGGAGGCGGCGTGCGGTCCTTGCACGGAATGTGCACTGTGCAGGCACCCGGCAAAAGAAAACATGAGGAATACGTTATTTAAGTGGAGTAGAGTTCACTGCTTTCAATAGTGGAAGAGTTTAGTTTTCTGAATGAGATTCACGCGTTTTTACGTCGTTGGTGTGGGGGCGGTGCCAACAGACACGCTCACTCGGGGGAATGCCCGCGAACTGTCATATCACTTCAGTGCCAGGGCGCGGTACCGATTCGGAGGCGGCCGTCCACGGGGTGAAGGTTCAACGCCGTGGTCCTGCTCTCACCCCAGTCATTATTTAGTTATTGTTTTTTTCTTATTTACCTTTAATTTTATTTCCCTGGACGTGCCCTGCTGCTGCCGCCGCGCCCCGCCCCGTCCCTGGCGCACGGCCCTGGCGTACCGCAACGGCGCTCGGCAGTGGGGCAGGGCGGGGCGGGGCGTTTGTGCGTTCGTGGAAACGGAGGTAGATAATGCCCCTTACTGAGCCGAGCCGAGCCGTGGCCGTGCACTGCGCAAGGCGTACGCATGCAGGACCGCCTAGCCCGGTTCCGGCTGCGCCGCTCTCCGTCTCTCTCACACACTCGGCGTTGCCACCAGTGCGACGGAGACGATCGCGAAAGCAGCGGTAATTTTTCCAAGGCCGGGATAGTAAAGTAACACTCATTATAGTGGGGTGGGGCCGTGAGGGTAGCAAAGAAAAAACACGTGTGGCGGCATTTGAACCACGGACTTTCTTGCTGTTGCAGGCGAGGTGACGACGAGGACGCCGCTGGACCGCGAGGCCCGCGCCGAGTACGACCTGGTGGCCGAGGCCAAGGACGGCGGCTCGCCGGCCCGCTCCGCTCGGGTGCCCGTCAAGGTGGTGGTGCTGGACGTGAACGACAACGCCCCCGAGCTGGTGGACCCCCAGGACGACGTGCTGAGCGTGCGCGAGGAGCAGCCGCCAGGCACCGAGGTGGGCCACCTGCGCGCCGTGGACCGCGACCTGGGCGCCAACGCCTCCGTCACCTTCTCCATCATCAGAGGTAAGAGCGTCAACAACGCACAGTGAATTTACCAGAAGACCGGTGGAGGCGGCCAAACCTCTAGACGCATTTTGAGCTGGAGAGTGTCGAAACAGGACGAACCGAACGTGTGACCCCACCAATGGATGGCTCTCCGAACGAGGAATCCATTGGTGGGGTCACACGTTCGATTCGAGTCCCATTTAGTGACTCTAGAGCTCAAAACGCGTTCGGGATTTTGACCGCCTCACTGGCCCACTGTGCGATAGCGCCTGGCGGAGCCCGGGTAGGCCGTGCCGCACGACGCGGCCGCACGGCGTTGCTGCCTACCCCGCTCGCTGCAGGCGCTCTGCGCTCTGAACCATAATCCAACCCTCTCCTCTGCTTTCCTTCCAGACCGAGACGGCTCCGAGGCGGCGGGGCTCTTCACCGTGGACGCCGTGACGGGCGTGATCCGCACGCGGGCCGTGCTGAACCACGAGGAGCGCGCCATCTACCGGCTGCAGGTGGCGGCCACGGACGCGGGCGCGCCGCCCAGGCAGACGGTGCGCGTGCTGCGCGTCGAGGTGCTGGACGTCAACGACAGCCGCTCCACGCACACCACCTCCAGCCTCGTGTTCCAGGTATAGCGCACTCGGAAGTTCGTCACCGCCCTGTCACCCGCGGCCGGCACCCTGGAACCCCCTCCCCCTCCCCGCCGTGCAACTCCTTCCAGAGGCTGTCTGCCCCGCGCTCCGCCGGCAAGGCTTCCAACTCCCAAGGCTCCCATACCGCCATCTCCTTTTATTTCGATCGCCTCATTGTTCCGACCGCGCATCTGTTACTCTTTGTTCTAAATCGAAGCGGGAGGCCGCACGGCGTCGCTAGCCACTGCGTTTTAATGCCCGAAGAGGCGTCTCTGTCTTTATCAGGGTCTCTGCCTGTGTGTCTGTCCGTCTGTCTTGATGCATGAGCCAGAGCCTCCTTGCTGCAGATTTAATTTGACCCGAAATGTTGCAGAAAATTGTCGTCTGATATAATTTGACGCAGTTTAATTTGCGATGACGCCCGTGACTAACCCCCGTCCGTTTGCAGGTCCGCGAAGACGCCCCGATCGGCTTCCAGATCGGCCTGGTGGCGGGCAGCGGCACCCTGGCGGCCGAAGACGACTCCCCGCGCCACGTGACCTACACCCTGACGTCGCTGACCCCGGACGCTGCCGACGGCCTGGACGACAACGGCGTGGGCTCCAAGGCCGCCCCGCTGGACGTGGCGCGCGGCTCGGGCGCCCTGGTGGTGGCCGGCCGGCTGGACCGCGAGCGCGTCGCCGAGTACCGCCTGGAGGTGCGCGCCCTGGACACCGGGCTGGGGTCCTCGTCGCACCCGCAGAGCTCCGCCGTGTCGGTGCGCGTCGAGGTGCTCGACGTGAACGACAACGCCCCCACCTGGCCGGCGGACCCCATCTCGCTGGCGGTGCGCGAGGACGCCGCGCTGGGATCCGCGCTGTGGAACCTGACCGCCGTGGACCCGGACCAGGGCGCCAACGGCGAGGTGCGGTACTCGCTGGTGCGGACCTGGCCGCCGACGGACAACCCGCCCTTCGCCGTGGACCCGCTGACGGGGACGGTGACCCTCGCCGCGGCCCTGGACTACGAGCAGGTGCACGAGTACACGCTGGTGCTGCGCGCCACGGACAACTCCCCCAACGCCACGGACAGGCTGTCGTCCACCTTGACGGCCAGGGTGCGCGTGGAGGACGCCAACGACAACGCGCCCGAGTTCGTCTCGCCACGCGCTGACGTGGCCCGCGGCGCCACGGTAACCGTGCGCTACGCGGAGCGCGCCGGCGCCGTGCTGAGCCACCTGGTGGCCGTGGACCGCGACGCCGGCGACAACGGCCGCGTCACGTACGTCATCTCGGCCGGCAACGAGGACGGCCGCCTCGCGCTGGGCTACGACACGGGCGTGCTGAGCCTGGCCCGGCCGCTGGCTCGGCCACTGGGCCCGGGGGAGACCGCCAGCCTGGCCTTCAACGTGACGGCCTCGGATCACGGCAAGCCGACCGCGCGCCACGCGCTTATCAGGATGACGGTGGTGCTTCGGGGTGCGGCGGACGCGCCGCCCAGGTTCTCGCGGCCAGCCTACTCCGCCACCGTGGCCGAGGACGCGCACCCGGGCAGCTTCATCGTCAAGGTGTCAGCCAGGCCCGCGGGCACCACGGGCAACGACGGTAAGCATTCTGCACTGGCACTCGCCGCTTCCGGGTTGCGTCTTCGCTCAGGGTGTCTTGACACTGCCCCTCTTTGCCGCAGCAGCCGGCGCCAACCTGACGTACCACATCCCCGCCGGCGCCGCGGACGACCGCTTCACCGTGGACCCCGCGCGCGGCATCGTGTCCACCAAGGCGCCGCTGGACCGCGAGAGCCGCGACCACTACACCGTGCCCGTGCTCGCCATGGACTCGGCCGCGCCCGAACTCCACGACGTGACCCTGGTGGACGTTCAGGTGACCGACGTCAACGACCACGCGCCGGCCTTCGCGTTCGGCAGCTGCTACGACGTGCACGTGCCGGAGAACGCCGAGGAGGGCGTCGTCCACTCGCTGGCCGCCGAGGACCCGGACCTGGGCGCCAACGGCGAGGTCTCCTACACCATCACCGGTGAGTCGGCCTGCCGGCCTGCCCTTCCCGTGCCTGGCCGTGCCTGGCCGCGGCCGCCGACAGTTCGGTGTTCAGTCGTCGGTTGGAATGCATCCAGGGTCTTGTTACCGCACACCGCCCCGATACGCCGTGCGGCTGTGCGGCCGTGCGCCCCTCCCGCGGCCCGGCCCTCTGGTCCAGGCCCTCTGGGTCCGGCTCGGCGCGGCGCGGTGCGCGGCTCCCTGTGTCCCGGCCGAACTCGACCCGACCCGGCTCGATCCGGCTCGGCTCGCCACGGCCTGGCGCGCGCTGCGGCGAGGCGAGGTGGCGGGGCGCGAACGCATGCTCTTTGCTCCTACACTGCCTCCAGCTGCCTCCAGCTCTCCAGGCTCGGAGTCGCGGCGCTCGGAAATGGGGTATCGCCGTTACACGCACGCACATAACGCTTTTAGCGTACCTAGTTTGGGAGCACCAGTCTCGCAAAGTTGGTCAAAAAGTGATTGAATCTCTGAAAGCCAAATAGATTCTCGCGACCGCCCCACTCGTCCTCTCAACCCTCCACTTCGCTGACTCTCTGATTGCATTCCAGCTGGCAACGTGGGCAACAAACTCCGCCTAGACCCGGACACCGGCGAGCTGACGGCCAAGTCCCTGGACCGCGAGACGACGGCGCAGTACTGGCTGGTGGTGACGGCACGCGACCGCGGCAGCCCCGTGGCGCTGCAGGGCTCCTGCAACATGTCCGTCGTCGTCCTGGACCAGAACGACAACGACCCCCAGTTCGCGCAGTCGCGGTACGCCGCGCAGGTGGCCGAGGACGCCCCGGTGGGCCACACCGTGCTGACGGTGCGCGCCTCGGACGCCGACGCCGGCGACAACGCGCGCCTCACCTACACCCTGGCCAACGAGACCCACTGGCTGTTCGCCATCGACAACGAGACGGGTGCCATCACCACAGCGGGGTGAGTACAGAGTAGAGACTGCTACGTGCTACGGGCGCCCAGTGGGCGAGGTGTCCAAAATTCTAGACGCGTTTGAAGCTCCTGCAAACCTGACTCGAACTGAACGTGTGATCCCACAAACGGATTTCTCATTCGGAGAGCAATCCATTGGTGCGGTCACACGTTCGGTTCGAGTCCCATTTAGCAACGCTGGAGCTCAAAACGCGTCTAGAGCCGCCTTTACCGGTCTTCTGTCTTGCTCTGCGAGACCCTCTAATCGCGAAGAGAGAAGCCTCTCAAAATGCCTTCGCCATTTCACCGCCGTCTGGTGCTCTCTAAGAACCGCTCCGACTGTTCTCGGTTCTCTCTAAAATCCTATCTACAGTATTGTTTTATGGTCCAGTCCGGCCTCTGAGTGCACCTCTTAGAGTCGCCGCCATCCCAAGTATCTCGCGAGGGGTCCTTGATCTCTCTTGGGGTATCGTTGTGGCGGCCACCTGGCCTCTCCGCGCCTCTCTACGCCCCTCTAGTTCCGCATCAAGGCCTCGCCAAGGGCCTCTAAAGGACTCGCCGGGGTTTATTTCCCCTGCTCGCTCCCGGGCCGGCCGGGCCGAGCGCGCTAGAGTCCTGCCGAGGATAACGCGGCAATGCCATGACTCCCCCGTGCCGCCCGGCCCGCGCGGCCCGCGCTTCAGATTGCCATTTAAAATACGCAAACCGCCCAGCGGATGTGCGTGCACTTCGTGTACTTTTGAAATTGAGTAAGTAACTCTGCCCGCCGTCTTCATTGTCCCTTTTGGATCGGGTGCGCGATAGCCGTCCTTCTGTCCGCCGCCCGCCCCGCCCGCCCCGCCCCGCCCCGCCCCGCCCCGCCTCGCCCCGCCGCGGCGAGCGAACGTGGGATGGGGATGTGTGCCAAGAGACTGATCGCGGCCCCGGCCCGGCCCGCCCCGGCTAGGCCCGCGTCGACTCGCCGAGGTGCCCGCCACAGGCCGCAGGACCCGCAGGCCCTGCAGGGCCGGAGACTCCCGCGGGAGAAATTTAATAGCTTTCTCGCGAGTCATTTGTTTTGTTTGGTTGGCCGGCCCGCCGCCCTGGCCGCTAGCCGCGGTGTTCGAAGCTCGTTCTTTTGCGCGCGCGGTGGCCGCGGCGGAGGGCGTCCTGCAGCCCCGCCGAGCCACGCGGTGCGGCGGTGCGGCCCGGATGGTCCGGAACGCAGTGCAGATAGCGCGGGGCTCACTTTACAGCCAGAGCGGAAAAGGGGAGGGGGACGCGCGCAGATCAAGATGACGCACTCGCACGCCACTCGAAAACGCGTCGGCAGCGGTCGCCAGGGTCCCAGTTCCGCAGTTCGGGGCTCCAACAGCCAGTCTTGAGTTCGGATCGAGCGTGCCGTTGAATAAGAACGCAACCCCACTAACACTTGCCTTTTCCATCTGCTTACTCGCAGCCCGCTTGACCGCGAGCGCCAGTCCGAGTTCAACTTCCTGGTGGTGGCTACGGACGGCGGCCACTACAACGCGCGCTCCCAGAGCGTGCCGGTGCACATCAAGGTGACCGACGTCAACGACGAGCACCCCGTCTTCGCCAAATTCCCCTTCTCCGCCACCGTGTCCGCGGCCGCGCAGCCCGGCCAGACCGTGCTGCGGGTGGCGGCCTCGGACGCCGACGAGGGCGTCAACGCGGACGTGCTGTTCGCCCTGGCCGACGGCGCGTCCGACAACGCCCACCGCTTCCGGCTGGACCCCAGCTCTGGAGCGTTGACGGTGGCCTCGGGGCTGGCGGCCGACGCCGGCCGGCTCTTCAGGCTGCCCGTCATCGTGCGCGACAAGGGCAACCCGCCGCTCAGCTCCACCGGGCTCGTCGAGGTCCGCGTCGGCGGCGGCAGCCCGGACGACGAGGCCGCCACGCTGCGCTTCCAGAACACCACCTACACCGTGCAGCTGGACGAACACTCCCCCGCCGGCACGGCCGTGGCGCAGGTAGGCATCACGGGACACAGGCTGGCACTGTATGATAAACGGTGCGACATGCTGACCTCTTCCTTGTTGTTCCTTAGGTGCAAGCGGTCCGCACCGACGGCCGCCTGCAGCGCATTGCGTACCGCATCCTGAGCCAGCCCCGCCAGCCGCACCAGCCCCACCAACCGCGCGGCGAGGACGCCTTCGAGATCCACCCGACGACGGGCATGGTGCGCGTGCGCGACCCCGCGCGCGTGGACTTCGAGCGCACGCCCGTGATGCGCTTGCTGGTGCAGGCGGACGGCGACGGCCTCAGCGGCTACTGCGAGCTGGTCGTGCGCCTGGTGGACACCAACGACAACGCGCCGCACTTCACGCAGCGCGCCTACGCGGCCGCCGTGTGGGAGGGCCGGTCCAAGGGCACGGCCGTGGTGCGCGTGGCCGCCGTGGACGAGGACGGCGACGGCGAGGGCCGCCTGCTGTACCACATCGTGGACGGCAACCACGACAACGCCTTCGTCATCTCGCCCGCCACGTCGGGCCTGGTCAAGACCAACATCGTCCTGGACAGGGAGATCCGCGACTCGTACCGCCTCACCGTCATCGCCACGGACCAGGGCCAGCGCCAGCTCACCGGCACCACGACCATCCGCATCAGCGTGGTGGACGTCAACGACAACCGGCCCACCTTCCCGCCGCACTCGGTGGTGAGCGTGAGCGAGGCGCGCGCGCTGGGCACCGTCATCACGGCCGTGACCGCCAACGACGTGGACACGCACCCCGCGCTCACCTACAGCTTCGGCCAGGTGGCGGCCGACGGCGAGGTGGCGGACGCGCTTGGCCAGACAGACGGGCCGTTCTCCATCGACCGCTTCAGCGGCGCCGTCACGCTCACCAGGCACTTGGACTTCGAGGCGCGCCGCGAGCACCAGCTGCGCGTCCTCGCCTCGGACTCGGCCTACACCGCCGTGACCAGACTCACCGTCAAGGTGGAGGACGACAACGACAACACGCCCGTGTTCGCGCGCGCGCTGTACGAGGCCAGCATGGCAGGTGAGTATCAACTTGAACAGGCTATGTCTCTGCCGTGGACTACATCGACCCTAACCTGCTGCTCTTGGTGTAGGCGGCGGCGAGGCGGGCCGTGCGTTGCTGACGGTGAACGCCACCGACCTGGACTCCGGCCGCAACGGCGAGGTGCGCTACTCCATGGCGAGGGCCTACTCGAGCTTCTACGTGGACGAGCTGACGGGCACGCTGTACGCCAACCGCTCCGAGGACGGCGCCAGGGCGTTCCCCGAGGACGGCGGCGACGTGGAGTTGGTGGTGGTCGCGTCGGACCGCGGCGAGGACCCGTTGTCGGCCTCCACGGCCGTCAGGGTGCGCGTCGGCGACGCCAGCGGCGTAGCGCCCAAGTTCACTCAGGACGAGTACCGGTAAGCCGCGTTTTGATTTGTGTTTCATCCGATTCGTGTATACCAGATTAAGAACAAAATCTGTTTCCAGTGTTCACATTCGTGAGGACGCCCCGCTTGGATCCACCGTCGTCAAGATCGGCGTGTTCAGCGCCTTCACGGCGGACGCGGGCCGCGACGTTGAGTACACCATCGTGGACGGCAACCAGGCCGAGGCTTTCCGCGTGCTCAGGTAGGCGAAAAGTCTGTGTGTTTGTGAAGTGCACTGTGAAAACCTTTCAAACTATTTAAGGCCTTACAAATTAAAGCAGTTTGTTATAACAAAGGATTTTGTGAAAATACTTCGTAATTTACGAACTATTTCTTCGTATAACAAAGTAAAGTAGTTTGTATCATGTATGCTCAAATAACTTCGTAAGGTTTTAAGCGCGTGCGGAGTCTTCTCAAAGCCGTGTCTAACTCGCTGTTGTGCCGTTGCAGCCCCAGTGGTGACGTGGTGCTGGTGCGGCCCCTGGACCGCGAGTCCGTGGACCTGTACAGCCTGCGTCTGGCGGCGGGCGGCCGGGGCTCGTCCAACTCGTCCTCGGCGTCCTCCTCCATCCTGCTGCACGTGACGGTGGACGACGCCAACGACCACGCGCCGGCCTTCTCGACGGCCTCGTACGAGGCCACGGTGTCCGAGGGCGCGGCCGTGGGGTCCGCCGTGCTGACGGTGAGCGCCGTGGACGCTGACCAGGCGGGCGGCGCCAACGCGGACGTGACCTACGACATCCTCTCCGGCAACGACGCGGAGCTGTTCGCCTTGGACGCGGCCTCGGGCGTGCTGAGCGTCAAGCAGCCGCTGGACTTCGACGCGGGCCCCACCAAGTTCGCGCTGGTGGTGCGCGCCGCGGACGCCGCTCGCTTCCCACCGGACGCACCGCTGGCGTCGCTTGCCACCGTCACCGTTACGCTCCGCGACGAGAACGACAACGCGCCGCAGTTCCCCGTCAACGAGTACCTCGAGCTGGTGGCCGAGAACGAGCCGGCCGGCACGGCCGTGTTCACCGCCCGCGCCGTGGACCTGGACCGCGGCCCGTTCGGCGCCATCAACTACACCATCGTGTCCTACTCGGACATGGATGACTCTTGGAAGCTGTTCCGCGTGGACGCCAGCACGGGGCTCGTCACCACGAGCGGCGTGTTCGACTACGAGGCGCGGAATCGCTACGCGTTCACACTGCGCGCCACGGACGCGGGTGGCCGGTCGGCCAGGGTGAGGGTGCGCGTCGAGGTGGAGAGCCGCGACGAGTTCCACCCGCAGTTCACCGAGCGCACCTACCGCCTGGTGCTGCCGCAGGGTCGTAGCCCGCTGCCCGCCGGCTTCGTGCTGGGCCGCGTCACTGCCACGGACCGCGACAAGGGTCTGGACGGCCGCGTCGTGTACCAGCTCAACGCCCAGCACCCGCACCTCAAGGTGAACCGCACCACGGGCGCCATCGTCGTCAAGAAGAAGCTGGACATCGCCGAGCTCACATCCGGCCAGGACGTGAGCCTGGTGGTGACGGCGAGCTCCGGCAGGCCGGGCTCGCTCACCAACATGACGGTCGTGGAGATGACCGTGGACGCGCTCGGGCTGGGCCCGGGTAGCGGCGCCACGGAGCACAACCTGGCGAGCAGCGCGCTGGACGCGAGCGGGGGCGCGGGCGCGGCGGGCGGTCTGGCGGACTGGGCGCTGGGCCTGCTCATCGCCCTCATCCTCCTGGTGCTGGCCTTCGGCGCGGTGTTCGTGTTCCTGCACGTGCGCAACCGGCGGCACAAGAAGGTCAACAAGCCCGCGCTGTCGTCCGGGCTGCAAGGGCTTCAGGGCCTGCAGGGACTCCAGGGCCTGCAAGGCCTGCAGGGCTGCGGGGCCTCCACTGTGGCCTCAGACACCTACGTGGACCCCAGCGCGTTCGACACGATCCCCATGCCGCGGCAGCCCTGCGCGGCCAGCCTGACGGGGCCCTTCGCGCCGCCCAAGTACGACGAGATCCCGCCGTACCGCTCCAGCAAGGCGGCCAAGGCGGCCAAGGCGGCCAAGGGCGCGCACAACGGCCAGCTGCCCACCGCGGACCTGTCCGGCTCGGAGCAGTCCGGCTCCAGCGGCCGCGGCTCGGCGGAGGACGGCGAGGAGGAGGACGAGGAGATCCGGATGATCAACGAGCGGCAGCGCGTCCGCGAGGAGGACACCATCTCGGACGTGTCGGTGCACAACACGCAGCAGTACCTGGCGCGGCTCGGCATCGTGGACACGGGCAACGCGTTGCCGTCGACTCACACCAGCGCGCGGCTCAGCACGTCGTGCTCGGAGCCGCTGGAGCCGCTGGAGCCGCTGGAAGCCCTGGACGAGGCTGACGCCGGCGAGGCCGACATCACCAACCTGATCTACGCCAAGCTCAACGACGTCGGCAGCGAGATGAGCGAGCGGGGCAGCGAGCGGGGCAGCAGCGTGGCCGGCTACGGGGAGACGACGCCGCGCTCCGCCACGCACCAGCCGTCCATGACGGGCTCGCTCAGCTCCATCGTGCACAGCGAGGAGGAGCTCACTGGCAGCTACAACTGGGACTACCTGCTGGACTGGGGTCCCCAGTACCAGCCGCTGGCGCACGTCTTCTCCGAGATCGCACGCCTCAAGGACGACGCGGACGCGGAGTCGGTGCAGGGCGCGCCGCAGCCCGTGCAGCCCCAGATGCCGCCCAACAGGACGGCGCCGGGCCCGGGCGGCAAGACGCTGCCCCTGCCGCCGCTGCCGCCGCCACTGCTCACCAACGTGGCGCCCAGGACCATCGCGCCCATCGCGCCGATGGCGTCGCCCTCCTCGCGGGGGTCCATGGCGCCGCACGGCGTGCCCCACGGCGTGCCCCACGGCGTGCCCCACGGCGCCTCCTGCCCCTCCATGGCGCAGCTCCTCCTCATGCCGCGGTCCCCCATCAGCCACGAGGCGGGGCTCGGCATGGTGGGGCCCTCGGGGCTGCAGATGGGCTTCAGCACGTCGAGCGCCATGTCGCCGTCCTTTTCCCCCTCCCTGTCCCCCCTGGCGACCAGGTCGCCGTCACTAAGCCCCCTGTCGCCGCCGTCCCACCACGTGGTGTCGCTACCTAGAACTGTAACAGATTCGGAACTTCGGATTTAGCCGTGTGCGTGTGTGCGTGTGTGTGAGTGAGATTGTGTGCATGTGTGTGTGACCGTTTGCGTGTGATAAGGCAGCCTGGAGATCTGCCGCCCTTCCGTTACCTGTGACGTCGCTGTGTGGTGGTGTTGCTCTCAGAGCAATGAGACCAGTATTGAAATGTTGCCATCTAGTTGATTTGTTTTCTGTCAGATGTTATACTTGTTAGCAGTGCTCTATTTGAAACGAGCTAGAAAAAAGCTGCAGCTACCTTTCAGTATTTTCAGATAAAAAAGAGAAAGAAATCCATTTGAGCCAATGTGTCATTTTTAACTTTAACTGCTGAGAATTTAAAGACATTTTTTTAAATGTCTAAAGCAACATGTGCTCACCGACGGTACATTAATAATTTTATTCAATTATGTTTATTTTGTAACTATTTAAAGCAACCAATTTCCCCTGGTTCAATGCAAGCCAAAAAGATTACAATTTGTGAATAGTATTTATTTGAGTGTCAGTGCCTTGTTATTGTGAAAATCTGTTCACTTATAGTGAAGAGATTGTACATATATTATGTTTTAGATTGTTTTTGCAGTTGTAAAGACTGTAAAACTTAATGCTTTAGTTTCCCACAAGCAAGTGTCATTTGCCTTTTGACAATGGATACTTTTATGCACTTTGTTCCCGGTGCTGAACTGAACTTCTTCGCTCATACTTAAAAGAAGAGTCGCATGAAGCTGAATTAGCTTAACGACTCTATAAATGAAGTTGTTTGTGGGAATTTAAAGCTAGCCGCAAGAGGAATAATTAATTAGGTATTTTCAAATGAAGTGATATTTGAATTGGACATAGCCAATGTTTTGTAAAAATGTACAGTATTGAATGACTGTTGATATGATTCCTCCTCTATGTATTATTTTTTTATTCAAAACAGTTGTTGTGAACTGTGAAAATCAAGGCAGCTCCTGCTCACATCCTCTTTCTTTGTCCTGTGAAGTATGTGCAGTTTAAGACCTAATTACTGCTTCCCTATTTATTTGAATTCATTGTTTTGGTCTTAAACTGAAGTCCTTCACAAATACTGGTTTCATTTTTGTATTTTTAACAATTAATGAATAGAACCTGAAATTTAGGTCAAAAGTCTTTTGTGGTACCTTTGAAGTATTTCTGTCTGAGACCATTCCACATGTTGATCACCTACAACTTTTACATATAAGTGCCATGGCTGAAAAAGCGCTTTTACACAAGTATACGATTATTGTATGTATTCATACTTGCCATGTAGGAATCGAATTGTGATTTGTTTTTGTTTATCCTTTTTTTCTTTACGTTTGTAAGGTTTGAAACCAATCAAACAACCAATCAACATGCATTTGCTATTTTTCCAAGTGCCAAGAATGTTTTGTATGAATCAAAATCTTGAAACGAGACTATTTTTATGTGATTAACAATGAGAACCAATAAAAATGTATATGTATTTTAACTTCCGTCCAACTCTAGTACAAAAAACTCTGTCTACGTTTGTGTTTTATTTCTTGTAATTAAAATGAATATGAATGTTATTGTTATTGAAATGTTCCTGACCTTTATGTAAGCTTTATCCTGCCATGTGATGCTACATTCATTACCTCTTTGAAAATCTGATTATATTTATGTGGCCAACCTTCGGTCATAAAATAACTTCACTTGTACAGCAGATAGTATTTTAATCACGTGGCTTCTTTGTGATCTGTTGTCATTCTCTATTTATTGTTTAATTTTGACACTACGAAGCCTGTTTGCCATAGTTTGCCTTTTATATTCCTAAATTGAGTTGCATGTATAAAGACATTTCCACTCTGTGAAATAAACCTATTGTAAATAGAAATATGTACATACAGCTGTTTTAGTATAGAGGAAATAAAGAAATCAAAGAATTATCAGTTGATTTATTGCCCCTCATCCCGCTTATATTTTAGAACAAGTTTGCGAAATACGTCTATGATGACGATCAGTTGGACCTTCACATTGACAACAAGTTGAGGCACAACCTAAACAGCCTTTTCCGAGCGGAAAACTGGCCGCACCAGAACTCAACTAACGCATCGGGAAAAGTCATTTTCAGACCAAGTAGAATGCGTCGAAGACCGTTGGGCACCGGGGATCAGTTTCTTAGACCCATAGCAACGTTCCATATGAATTTCAGACAAATCGGAGGTGGTCTACCATTTTCGTCGAAAAAAAGCCAAGGCATCATGGTTTTGTTCACGGTTTGGGCAAAAAAATAAATTAAAATGGCCCAAAGTCGAGTATGTTGTGCTGGGGCCTTCCCTTGACTCCTGACACAATATCGAGGGCCATTTTGGCCCTGAACGGCGTTCAGATGAAAACTGGAATACTTTGAGCATTCGCCGGGAAGGTAGGCAACCCACCGTCCACAGCCCCTTCACCAGTCTGCAACTTGACGCGCTTGAATGCAGTGCGTCTTGCTGTTGGTTGGCGAGCGTGGAGTATCGCCGGGCGGGAACATACTCCGCGCGCCGCACCGCCGGGCAATACTCCACGCGAGCAGCGACACTAGGGCAGGGCACTTCGGGTGTGAGGCATCCCGGGTGTGAAAATACCGCAGGCACTGGAACAAGGAGAAGAAGAAACGTAACCGGATTCCGTTCGAGAAGAAGAAGAAGAATAGGAACGGAATCTGTACAGGGAAGGGGGAAGGAGGAGAGTGGAAAGGCAGGAAGGACGAAGAAAGGGGGAGGGAGAGAGAGGGAGGGCGAGGGCGGGCCGTTACATTAACATTTTCATTGCGTCGTTTGTGGCCGATCCGTGACGGTCCGGGCCCACTGTGCCGTGGCTGTGCCGTGGCTGTGCCTCTGTGGCGAACTACGGCCGATTTGGAGCAGGATTAGAGGGGCTGGCCGGGCCGGGCGGGGCGGGGCGAGGCTTGTTCGGAACGCACCCCCTCTTCCGGTGATCGAGAAGGCCGTGAGTGCCAGCCCGGCCTGGCCGGCCACTCGGCCAGCACGCGCTCTCTCGCTCCCTCTCTCTTTCACTCTCCCAAGAAGGCCAGAGTTCAAAGCGGGGGAGTGAAATCCAGCCGGACGTCGAACGGACGCTTTGCGAGCCCGGCGGTCGTCGAATGGGTCTACAGACCGGTGGCTCGAGGGAAGTCTACCCGTCCTGTGTTTGACTGGAGACCGAATTGACGGTTGCAAAGCAGTCACCCGCCGGGGGGCGCGAGGGAGAAAGAGAAAGCGACGCAGCTTTTTCTTTGTTTTTGCTTTTGGCGCCGCAATTATTTCTGCATTTCAAAGGTCGCACGCGTGCGCCGGCTAATACCACTAACGTGCGTGCGACAAGTGTGCGAGTGAGATAGCAGCGAGGCCTCGTTTACCATACTTAAAACGAAAATTGCCCAGCCTTATCTTTGTTGCGCGGGCTACGAACATAAGCCCCAGCGACCGGGACAGGGCGGGGCGTGGCGGGGCGTGGCGGGGCGTGGCGGGGCGTGGCGGGGCGGTGTGGGGCGGTGTGGGCCGGCCTAGGCTTTGTGCCGGCCCCTCGGCCCGCGGGCTGCACCCTTGACTTCATAAAAGTCACTTAGCGTCATTTCGAGCCGACCGCATGGCTTTCCAGAGATGCGATCGCTCCACCCCCTGGCGGGCCGACAGACAGACGGACGGACAGACAGATAGACAGACAGGCCGGGGTTGTCGCCTGTCAGACCCAACCACTTCCTTTCCCAAACAGGCGGTCGGTCTGCTTGCCAAAGTCGTCCTCTTGAATTTCGTTCCCGGAGCGACAGTGCTTTTTTCACTACACGCAAAACTTGACCATTATCTTCCCTATTTCATTCTTAATTTTCCCCCAAAATGTTTTCGTCATTTTTTTGTGTGTAACTTTTTGCGCCCGTATCAGGCCTTTGGAAACGAGGCAAAGGGGGCAGAAAGAGAGCGAGAGAGAGAGGAGTGAAGAAAGGCGGTGGGAAAAGTGGGTAAGAAGGCGCGGTGAGGCCGTGCCTCCTAGAAGGACTCTGGCCGTGCTGAGCCGCGCCGTCCCCCGGCCCTTTTAAGGGTTGTGGTGTCACCGTGCATTTGTCAACGTCAGAGTCGCAGCGCGGCCAGGACTGCCAGGACGACGCGGCCGGGCCGGCTGGGCCCACGGCGGCCGGGCAGGCGGTTCATGTCAAGACTCGGGGCCAGATCTGGGCGAGCAGTGCTCTGTCTTTGTCGGCGCTGCCTTGCCTGTCGCCTTGTAGGAGAGGGATGGGCGCTGTGGTCAAAAGCAACGCCCGGCCCGCTCAGTCTCGACCGAGTCCCCACGTCCGCGGGGTGTCAGCCGGGCTGGCCGGCAGCGGGCTGTTCAGTGTCGGCAGCGTGTCAGCAGGATCCCGGAGGGTGTCAGATGGATCCTTGAGGGTGGAATCGGGATTCTGAATGGTGCCAGCAGGGCATCGTGATTTTATCTTCCGATGTTCGGTTCACCCGGCCTCCGAACCAGGGCGGGGCTCGCCAAGGGCTCGCTAGTTTCGAACAACAAGTGACTCTCCGGAACTGAGCGTCCCCGCGCCCCGCTCCCTGCTGGAGGAGCCGCGTGCAATATTAACCACTGTTGTCTTAGCGCTGGCACGACTTCCGGGACCTCAGAGACTTCCGCGGCTGGAAGCTGTTTTGAGACGAAATGGAGTGACATCGGCCCGGCCAAGCAGCCCGTATTGTCGTTGGCGTGGACGGCGAGGACGCTCTCGGCGGCGTGGTTGACATTCCACAGTGGGCCAGAAGACCGGCGGAGGCGGCAAAAATTCTAGACGCGTTTTGAGCTCCAGAGTCGCTAAATGGGACTCGAACCGAACGTGTGACCCCACCAATAGACCCCTCGTTCGGAGAGCTATCCATTGGTGGGGTCACACGTTCGGTTCGAGTCCCATTTTAGCGACTCTGGAGCTCACAACGCGTCTGAAATTTTTGCCACCTCCACCGGTCTTCTGGCCCACTGTGCATTCATCGAACAGCAGCCTTCCAAAGGGGCGCCCCGAGCACTCCCACGCAGCCACTCTGAGAGTCCCGCGAGTGCGAGAGAGACAGAGCGACGAAAGCGACTCCCGGAATCGGGCTGCCGGGCGCGACAGGACGCCCACATTTAATTTCCGGGTAGCCTAGCTCGCCTTGGCTCGCCTATCGCGAGATCCCCGGAGTGTGGCAAGTGTGTCGCTGCAACAACGGGGCGAGGACGGTGCAGCATGCATGCCAAGTAGCGACGGACGACGACGACAACAACAACAACAACAACAACAACAACAACAACACAACACCATGCCGTGGGATCGACGCTTTTGGTGCGTTTAGGTTGGCAACATCTCAACTCGGTTTCGCACAGCCAACTGACCCAAAGTGCGTTTTAACAGCAAAAAGTGGCAATACGCTCGCAATACGATAGTCTCAACGAGACCCGCCAAACCACTCTAAGAAGCTTACAGAAACACAAGCTTACAAAAAAAGTACTTCGTAATTTACGAACTATTTCTTCGTATAACAAAGTAAATTAGTTTGTATTATGTATGCTCAAAATACTTTGTAAGGTTTTAAGCGTCCAGCTTCGGTGATCGGCGGGAGAACCGAGCCTTCATCTGGCGCATCCCTGCCGCGCCATTCGGCAGATTTGGAGATTGTATTGGGCTGGCCCACCCGAAATGCAAACGGTTTCTGTGGTACAGTGAGAGTCCGGCAAATTCAGAGGCCTTCAGAATGGTCGGATGATTATTTGAACCCACGAACCCGAGTGCCGAGTCTAGTAAACTCCTCTACCCTGACCGCTCAGCCACCGAACCAGCTTGTCGGCGCTGATGTTGAAACTCTCCTTGAGCTGCCGTTCGAGAAATCTAGTCCCGAAAAAATTGTACTTTCAGTGGTCTCGAACCCGGGATCTACCCACAGTGACAATAGTCACTTTTGCCGTTAAAATCTATTACTAAAACACACTTTGGGTTATATTATGGATCCAGGACCGAGTCTAACCGTCTGTCGCTCCGTCACTCTCGCCACCGCCGGGCCGTAGGGGTGCGAGAGAGACGGAGGACCGTTGGAAACGTCGCGCGTAGCGCCATGCACGCCATAAGTCAATTTATTCGATACATAATGTATCCCGTAATGGTGGCGGTTATATTAGGCGCGTGGGTTGGCAAGGGGAGGGGCGAGGGAGGGCGGTGGACCATCTTTTTTTTATTAATACCCTCGCATAAAACGTAGTCACGCAGTTCAAAATATGCAGCCATACTAAAAATGAGCGTTCTTTCACAGATTTTAGAATGTGGAATCCCCGTTTCTGCCGATATGGCTGCACAGCGGGCCAGAAGACCGGTGGCGGCGGCCAAAACTCTAGACGCGTTTTGAGCTCCAGAGTCGCTAAACAGGACTCGAACCGAACGTGTGACCCCACCAATGGATTCCTCGTTCGGAGAGCAATCCATTGGTGGGGTCACACGATCGGTTCGAGCCCCATTTAGCGACTCTGGAGCTCAAAACGCGTCTAGAGTTTTGGCCGCCTCCACCGGTCTTCTGGCCCATTGTGCGGCCCAGGATGGCGGCACCGATTCGTCACGGCCGCGCTGTCAACGTTCACGGCCTCCGCGGCCTCGGCCGTGCTGCGGCGCGGTCTCTGTCGCACTCACGGGGCTCTCCGTGAGGCCGTGAGGGTGCGAGAGAGACAGAGACTGACGGCCCCGACGGCCCACTAATCCCACTTGTCACAGCAATTCCCCGCGCCGGTGTGCCGCCCGCCACGGCCATGGCGTGGCGGGGCGTGGCGGGGCGTGGCGGGCCGAAGCGCCCGCCACGGACGATGTGCCGAAGCTGTCACAAATTCGCTCGCAGCGTCGGCAGGGAGGGGGACAGAGACGGAGGGAGAGGGAGAGAGAGAGAGAGAGAGAGACGCATCCGTCCCGCAGCCACGTCACGATCGGTCAAAACGGATGAGGCTAATTTGCATGCTGCCACAGAGTTCCTCCCTGCCTGCCTCTATAAATCCCCATATATTCCGCATCCCAGCCAGGACCGCCCAGGACGCCGTCCTCTCCGTCGTCGCTGGACACGCAGAGGCCTCCCCCTTCCTCTCCCTCTCTCGCTCCCTCCCTGCTCCCTCCCCCCCCCCTCTCTCTATCTTTCTCCCCTCGCGTGCTCATGTGACCTGCAAAATGTCGAGTCTTCGCGGTACGCGTCACTGCGTGCTTTCCTCCAGTCTGTCTGTCTGTCTGTCTGTCTGTCTGTCTGTCTGTCTGTCTGTCTATTTGTCTGTAGGTCTGGCTGGCTTGCGAGTCCAAAGCCATACGGAGCAGAGTGGTGTACAAACCGGCGGGGATTCTGCTCCGCGCTCCACCAGCAACAACAACAACAACAACAACAACAACAACAAGACTCGCCCGGCCTTGCCTTGTGCTGCGAGGACCCTCTCGCGTGCTGTGTGTGATAAAGTGAAGTGAGCGTATGATTAATTGGGGGTCGGAGCGACTAATCTTGCTTTTTCCTCTCCGCGGACCTGCTTTCCCTTCTTCCTCTCTTTCTTCTTCTTCATCCTCTTCGTCTGCTCGGCGTTTCGGAATCCAATTGGGGCTGAGGTCGGAAAATACGCCCGGGTCTTGAATAAAGGGTGTCAGTTTTCAAGCACGAAAACAAACAAGCCAAGAAGTTAAAAAAATAATCACTACGGGAAGATATGTAGTAAAGAGTTGCCGAAGCTTTTTGTTTGAATGGTCGCTGCAGGCCGACGGACAGCAGCGAGCCCGGGATTAGTCTGAACACATTACCGCCGCGGGTCGCTCTGTCTCTCTCGCACTCACGGGGTGGTCGGGGAGCGAGAGAGACGGAGAGACACTGTCCGGAATGATCGGTCTGTCGGCCGCGGCTGTGGCACGCCGATGTTCGGATGGCTCGCGGCAAAGACGAGGGGAAGGGGGAGGAGGGGGTTGGGGGGGGGGGTTGAGGCCAAATTGATGAGCATGAAATAGCAGAACCGGACGTGACCTTCCAAAGCCAGCCAGCGGCAGGGGAGTTTGCGGCGTAGCAGCGTAGCGGCCGAGGGACGGGCGGGGCGTGGCGGGGCGTGGCGGAGCGGGGTGGGGTGGGGCGGGTCTGCGGCGAGAGCAAAGGCATACAGCCAGCCAGAGATGAAAGCCTCGAAAGCCCTGGACAGTAAGATGGAAAGGCTTTCTTGGTGTGTGTGTGTGTGGCGTGTGAGCGCGTCTGTCTGTCTGTCTGTCTGTCAGCCTGTCTATCTGTCTGTCTGTCTGTCTGTCTGTCCGTCTGTCAGTGCGTCAGCCTGTCTGTGGGCTATAACTCCGGATCGAGGTGCTGAGCTGCCCGGTGGCCGAGCCGAGCACCGAGCCCCCTGCAGGTAGGCACTCCCGCTTGCACGGCCGCCGCCCGGTTGCCCACCCGCTCCATCACAGGCGCTCGCCGGCCGCCTCACAGCAGCAGCACAGTCGTCTCGTCGCTCTCTGTCGCACTCATGGGGCTCAGGGTGCGAGAGAGACGGAGCGAAACGTCGACAATATTTGGCGGGCGGTGCTGGTGACGTGCTTCGCCGTCGACTTCACAAACTACAGCCGCCTTTCAAAGTTAAGCCCCAACCAGGATGCAGGGAACGCCACTGCTATCTCCGTCCCGCACGCACACGTTCGCATGCACACACACACAGACGCGCTCGCTCTCTCGCTCTCTCTCTCTCTCTCTCTCTCTCTCTCTCTCTCTCTCTCTCTCTCACACACACACACACACACACGCACGCACGCAGCGGAGAGACATGCCCACACACACAGCCCCCCACTTTTGTATTCATATTCGCATGAAACGTTCCTCGCCAACTTCTACCCCAGCCATACACGGCCGGCGGGCCGGGAGAGAGAGATAGAGAGACAGAGAGAGAGAGAGAGAGAGAGAGAGAGAGAGAAGAGAGAGGGGGGGGGGGGGAGGGGGAGAGGGAGCGAGAAGGGTGAATGCACGGGTGACTCCAACAATAAAAACTTTCTCCCCAGAGTGCAACAGGGCCTCGTGTATGAGGGGGGTTCCAAATAATGCAGTCGAATGCACAGAACGTGTTTAATAAAAACACTCTGCAAACAAGGAATAAACAACACCGCCAGATTCGTTGATGCGACGACAGGTGCGTGCCCAGTGGTATGGACGGTTGAGCTTCCAGCATCATTGACGACAAAGTCTCGTTTGACGCGTTGTTAATCAATTTTCTTTTTCAGCTTTTTGTTTTCGTTTTTGATTTGAAAGCGCCGCACGTTGCTTGCGGCAGCCAAAGCCCTTTTGTCGTCCCGACAAGAACGCATCCGACAGTGGCGGAGCGTAGCACAGTGGGCCAGAAGACCGGCGCAGTTGGCAAAAATTCTGAGCTCATATCACTTCATAGGACTCGAATCGAGCATGTGACCCCACCAACGGATTCCTCGTTAGGAGAGCAGTCCATTTGGTGGGGTCACACGTTCGGTCCGAGTCCAATTCAGCGACTCTGGGGCTCAGAACGCGTCAAGAATTTCGGCTGCCTCCACCGGTCCCCTTGCGCACTGTGCGTAGCAACTGGTAGCGACAGGAGGCGTACGGCGCACGCGGCGACGGCTGCAGTCGTGCGAGTGTAGCAGACACGACGCATCAGACGGGCAGGCAGGCAGGCGGGCAGGCAGCGTTGCGGCGTGAGGTAGGGCGGGCCGGCGGGCCGGGCGTGGGGCAGGGGGTAGCGCTGCGCCGTGCTGCGCTGCCGCGCTGGCGGTCCACCGGAGGCTTCGGGGTGGGGGTGGGGGTGGTATTGACATCCGCGCTGCACCGCCAGTCGCCGCCCAGACGCCGCGCGCACCGCACCGCCGCCCCGTACCGCGAGGCCCGCGCCGAGCCCCGCGTCCTGCACATCGAGCACCTCACCGACGGCGACCCCCGCGGACCGCCGCGCGACGACCAGCGACCCGTCGAACCGGCGGCTTGGAGCCCTAGAAAGCCGGGCCGCGCCAGGCCAGCCCCCAGGGCGGCGCCGGGAGGCCGGCCTCCACCCCGTCGTCCGCGTCGTCCGCGTCGTCGTCCCCTCCACTGCGAGGCCGACGCCATGCCGGAAGGGCACCGGAGCGGTTGCGTCCGGTCGGGAAGGGCGACAAGTACGGCCTCGCTCGACACGTAGCGGCGCAGCCCGAGCGCAGCCTAACGCGGCGACGCGCAGTTTCCAGTTTCATCACGTGTGCGGACTTTTTCCATTTGCCCCTTTTCCCCCTTTTTGCGCGCTGTTCCGGCCGGATATCAAACTCAGCGAGGCCGGTGGTGTGATGAGCGCTAGCTCCACGCAGTGCCTGTGACACAGGTAGGTGTAGAGGGCATTTCCACCAGCTCCAAATAAACCTTTTTTTATTCCCAAAAAGTTTTTTTTTTTAATTCTTTGATTTGTTGCTTCCATTACATCGTCGCGCTTACTGCGGAGACGAGGGGAGTCAGTGCGCGTCCTCCAGGGACTGAGTAGCCGAGTGCTGCTGCGCGGCTGAACACAAGGCGCACCGAGTGCTCGCCACCCCTCCGAGCCCCACCGAGCCCCACAGCCACTCCCCTGCCGACCGCCCCGCCCCGCCCCGCCCCGCCCCGCCCCGACTAGCCGACCCGGCGTGCATTTTTGCCGCGCCGACGGCTGGCGGGGTTTATGTTTTGGCAACCGGTTTTGTTTCGCACTCCTGGGACTAACGGACGAGCTCTCCCCTCGCCTTGGTCCGAAACCGGGAAAATCCATTCGCCAAAATGGATCCGATACTCCACGAAACCTGGCAGAGTTGTGTCACTTTTCTCACCGAATATTTCACTCCGTCTTGCCTGTGTACTGCGAGCCAGCGCCAACATTCGGAGTGATTGGTGCTGACTAAGTCCTGGCAGGAAAACAACGCGGGAAAACAGTAGCAACAACTTGGACGTGGCAGGCTGATGAGAGGGGAGGGAGAGAGCGAGAGAGAGAATGGGAGAGCAACTTATGACAGTGTGAGTCCCAGGCCCCGATGCCGGGACCATAGGGGCGCGGGGCGGGCAGGTAGCAAAAGTCATAACTCAGGAGGAAAGTTTTCACAGAATGTTAGTCGGTCGTCACAGCTCTCGCCAAAGTTCATCTCTTGTAAAGCTCTGCTGTGGGGCCTCGCCCGGCCGCGCCGTCTCCACTACTCCTTCAGGAACAGTGGCGCCAAACTTGGGGCCTCTGTCGAGTCGTGCACTTCGGAACCGTGGCAGCCGAATGGCGGCCGAACCCCACTTAGAGAGCGGCTCGGAATTCATGGTCAGTCGCGGAGCAGCGCGCCCCGCAACGTATGCCAGTTGAGCTGAGACAAACAGGCGGACAAACGCGGACTTTGCGCAGAGTGTCTGCAGTGGGGCACGATGGGGCGGTGGCACGACATGAAAGGCAGGCCGTTGGAAAGACGGCTTGGAATGCTTTGACGGCCAGCGTATGTACCTTGCCTGCCTGCCTGCCCCCGGCGACACCCCCCCCCCTCCCCCTCGCATAGCCATGCTCTCCTCTGCGCTCCCCACGCTCTCCAGGCCGCTCTGCGTGGCGGCAGGGCTGCCAGCCACGCACGACAATACGAAATGACATGTGTCTTCGCGGCATTTCAATATCCTGAGCGTTCCCCGCGCGCGCCGCGACTCCATTTGCATCGCCGAGGACGTGAGCAACTCGAGCCACGGGACGCGACCCTCGCGTGCCAGCCAGCACGTTCAAAGTTCAAACGTTTTCACCATTTCCAAAAAATATTTTTAAAAAATCCACTTTTGGATTTTAATGTGGGTTGTTTTTAGCATACTTTTTAAATAAATTGTCGGACAGTTATTCTTTTTTGCTGAAATTTTTTATTATTTTGGGGTGTGTGAAATCTTAGACTTATCCCGGGGGCTGAAATTTTGAACCCTCGCTCGAGGGGTTGAAACCGTGAACCCTTTCTGGAAGGTTCGACATTTCGGACTCCCGGGACGCTAGCTATTTGGCAGCCACCCTGGCTGAGCACTACCCCTCCCCCCTCCCCCTTTTCCCGAACGGTTACTTCCCCGAAGGGCTACTTCCCCGAAGGGCTAGCACTGCAAGGACGCGAAACTACATGCGCCGCCTCGCCTTGCCGTAACTCAGCGGATTAATTTTCTGATAAACGGTCAGTGAACTATATCTGCTGATAAGGGCGTTGTGGCGCCACGCCCCGGCGAGTCCGAACAACGCGACGCGTCTGCCAGCCGCGCTTTTGAGGCCCCGCCTTACACTACGGGAGAGAAAAGAAACAGGACTTGAACCCAGTGCCGTCTATTCGCGAGAGTGGGTCTTCTCGGGACACGGTCCTGAAAGATTCAGGACCGGAACGCGTCCTCGGGGTACCAGGACACCGTTTTCAAAGTTTCAACATGAGCAGCGCAGCACGGCAGAAACTTTATTTTTCAGTAATGCTTGGTACAGCACATTCTTAGTCAATTTTTTTTTGCTGTGTTGCGTTGGTCACCGTGTGAGTGGCCTCGATCCAACGGAAGCAGGCCGCCAGCGAGGCGGTGGGGCATGCATAGGGAGTCGGGTTATTTCCGATTGTCTCATGAACTCGCATGCTTTATGCACCAAGTGGCGCACACGGAGGGCCGCGGGGGCGTGGCGCGGCGTGGCGTGCAGGCCGGCCGTTGTGACCTGTTGATAATGCTTGTTGGCGTTATTAGCAGTGGCGTGGCGCGGTGCGACCTACTGCACCATGCAACGCGAAGGTACACAAACCGCGACATGAGCGCGCTGCTACACCGTTGCAAAGCACTTTAGGGTTCGACTGCTATAGCAAGACCGATGAAACCAGAGAAAGCAGCCGGCACAGTCTGCATTAGGTAATTTCCATTTTTTAAAAAAAAATTCCAAAAGCGTAACTTATTGGGATTACAAAATTTTAATCAGCAGAATATTGAAGAATCAAAATTGTTAAAGATTCAAAGAGTGAAAATTTCAAAAATTTCAAGATGTAAAAAATTAAAAATTTAAAAATTTTAAGATTCAAAAATTTCAAGATTTCAAAATTGAAAGATCCCAGAATGTTAAGATTCAAAAAATTCAAGACTCAAAAGTAACAAAATTCCAAGGTTGAAAAATTTGAAGAACGGAGCGATTTGCGAGAAAACAACAAAGAGAAAGCCTAACTGGTCTCGGAATGTGGACGGAGCGGCGAATTGGCAGTGAAAAGGGGGCCGGCCATTGAAAGCGGAAAGAACGTGAGCAAAGCCGCGCGGCTTCCCTTGGGCAAGGCCCCGCCCCGCCCCGCCCCGCCCCGGCCCCGCCCGGCCCCGCCCGGCCCCGCCCGGCCCCGCCCACGCCCAGCGAGTCCCCGCAAGGCTCCAGGCTGCGCAAGCCGGCCCAAGTATTGAATAAAAAGGCGAGCCGTTCCGGCCGAACAAGTACATCAGGCCATTAGTATGCATGGCCATGCCGCGCGCGGCCGCGGCCCGAGTGGCGATCCGCCCGATAGTTAGACTGAGCTCCTTGCTGCTTGCGGCATCCCCCCCGGAGTTTGAGTCGGAATAATTAGCACGGGATTTTCCAACACCGTCTTACTTTCTGTCACGGAGACTCTCTGACAAATCTGGCGATCCGAACATAAAAATTACCAAGATGGGAAAAAGGTTAGAATTATCGCCGGGATTCGAACCACAGATCATGCTACTGGGAGCCAACCGCTTTTTCGATACAGCCATGGCCTGCTGCCGCTGCTTCTATCCTCTCAGCAGTCCCTCTATCCGCTTCGTTCTCCCTCTATCCCCTCGCCGCCGGGGTCCCCGTTGTTTCCATCTGGCGCGGCCAAATGAAATGTCAGCGTAAATATTCAGCGACTCGTCTACTTAATCACGCCGGGCTGGCGGCACTGCAATCGCCAGCACTGCAAGTGCAGGCCTGCTGCGTGACGTCATCGTGACGTCATCCTTTGAAACTTTTCCCGGCTTGGTTCGCCCCGCTGGCTGGCTGAGGCGATGCACAGAGGACCCGAAGACCGGTGGAGGCGGCCGAAACTCTAAACGCGCTTTGAGCTCCAGAGTCACTAAGGAACTCGAGCCGAACGTGTGACCCCACCAATGGATTCCTCGTTCGGAAAGCGCAATCCATTGGTGAGGTCACACGTTCGGTTCGAGTCCCATTTAGCGGCTCTGGCGCTCATAACGCGTCTAGAGTTTTTTGGCCGCCTCCACCGGTCTTCTGGCCCACTGTGCGATACACGCGGTGCGTCAACAGCGCTGTTGCTGCTGAGCCCTGACGGCAGCCTGACGGCCGATCCGGGGCGCGTTGCTTCTCCATCGACCTCAGATTTGTGTCTGCTGTGTTTGTCTTTCCCATAACTCTTCCATTCAATATCGGGGGGAATCCAATTGCGGCGCCGCTCCGCACACAGCGCCACAGCGGCCCAGCGGCACGCAGCGCCGCTACATGTGGATACCGAGAGGGATCCCTCGCAGGGCCTTCCCTGGAGGCCCTCCCTGGAGGCCTTCCCTGGAGCCGGGCCCGGCCGGCGGCCTGTCAGGGGGTGGCATCCATCACCGGAATGATGACACGGGCGTTGCTGCGCGGCCGATAACCCCGAACCTGACTTACCTAACCTCACCTAGCAATCCACCTAACCACACCTATCCAGCTTACACTGAGCGGACTATAGCAACCTCACCACATGACCTGACTGAACCAACCTACCCCAACCTGACTAACGCGAGCTGACCAACCCGTCCCACCTAACCTAACCTGAGCCGACCCCCTCCCCGTCGAATGAATGCGGCGTAACGGTCGATGTAAAATGAGGCGTTTTTACGGCGAGGGGCTACACTGGCTTCACCACGCCGCGCAACAAGCAACGCATGTAAAAGCGGGGGAGGGGAGGGGGGCAACAAAAAGAAAAACAACAAAATAATAAAAATAGAACGACAAACGGGCGGCCTACCACTATAAAGTGTTTCGTGTCGGGCCGGCCTTGGCCGTGTCGCGGTCCGAAGCGGGCGGAGCGGACGGCCCGACGAATGTGGCGGGAAATTTAAACGTTGCCGCGCGCATTTATGTAGAACAGAGCCCGGGGGGCTTTGCCGCGCTCACGAAAGGCACTCGCGGTCTCTCTCACTCACGCTCTCTCTCACTCACGCTCTCTTCCGCTTCCTCTCTCTCTCCTCTCTCTCTCTCTCTCTCTCTCTCTCTCTCTCTCTCTCTCTCTCTCTCTCTCTCTCGTTCGTGACGTGCTCGGAGAAATATTTTTCAGTGTTTAATTAAACCCACAATTTTAACGGCTTAATTTATTTTTAAAGAAGAAAACAGTAATTATTTCTTTCTTTTTAAAATAAAAT